AAGATAACCTCTGGCAAAGGCTTCACCTCTCCATTATCCTAGCAGACCTGCACATGTGATTATTCTAACTATTGGGTTGTTGGAAAAGTCATGACATATTTTGTCTATGTTTCTCAAAGGTCTTTTATTTATATAAAGAACAAAGATCAATCAAGGATATATTGCCCGTTTTGTTCGATAACCTTTTGCCATCTTTCAGTGAGCTTTATAATTCCTCATTCATAGAAGGACCTGTCTTTATTTGCGAAAAACTGAACAGAGTGCTGATTTACAGCCTCATCTGAACTGAACATTATACCACACAAGGAGTTTTGAGGAGAGCGAAATAAGTGGAAGTCTGACGGCACAAGGTCAGGCGAGTATGGTGGGTGTGGCAACACATCCCATCCAAGCTCCAATAATTTTTGACGGGTGATCAAACTTGTGTGTGGTCTCGCATTGTTGCAATGGAACACAACTCCTTTACAATTAACAAGCTCTGGACGTTCCTGGTTGATGGATTCGTTCAAACTGTCCAATTGCCCACAGTACACATTCAAATGGATTGTTTGGTTCTTTGGTAGGAGCTGGAAAAACACGACACCTTTAAAATCCCACCACAGTGAGAGCATAACCTTCCTCTGATGAATGTCTGCTTTCGGTGTCGCTTGAGGCAAATCATCACATCGGGACCAAGACTGTTTGTGCACCACATTGTTGTAAACAATCCATTTCTCATTGCCAGTTATCAGTCGCTTCAAAAAAGGATCGTTTTCCTCATGTTTAATGAGCATATTGCAGATGTTTATACGTGCTGTCAAATGAACTTCTTTGAGTTCATGCGGAACCAAAATATCAAGCTTGCTTAGGTATCCTAGCCTCTTCAGGTGGTCATAAACACTTGCATGATGGATGTTCAATGTTTCTGCAATCTCTCGTGTCATGTAATGTGAGTTTGACTCAATCAATGCCTTTATTTTGTCATCATCAACCTTGGTGGGCCTCCTTACTGAGGAGCGTCGTTGAGATAAAAATCACCAGCACGGAATTTCGTGAACCATTGTTAGTGCTGAAGTTCTTGTAGAGCATTGTCACCGTAAACTTCATGCAACTTTTCACAAGCTTGACGCGCATTCTTCCCTTTATGGAAGTAAAACAGTAAAATATAGCAAAAATGCACAGTTTGGTCTTCCACCTTCAACTTGTAAAATCTCCAAAACTCAACCAAATCACTCAATTTATTTTTAGAATGAAGCTAGAACTGTCAGCTGTCAAATGACATAGCAATAACATAGATGCAAATGACTCTAGTACTTCCAAAAATGAACTAGTGCCATCTGTCGCAAACATGTGTCATGACATTTCCGACAACCCAATAGATTGCAAATCTTTGAGGGCAGGGCCGAGATCAACGCTGTTCCTTTCCCAGTGGTCATCCTCCACCAGAGGATTACCCTACAGACCCATTTTTCATCCTTCCCTAGGCTGTTTGAACCCTAAAAGGCTGGCCCTCCCAGACTGCATCACCTGCCTTCCTGGCTTCGTGTAGGTTTTGGCAAATGGGAGTCACTGGCAGGAGATGAAAGAGGTTCCCTTCTTGCTCCCCTTTCCCTCTAGCATAACCATCCCTCCACGGCCCCCACTTCCTACTCCTTTTGGCGTAGAGGTCAGCAACAGCTTCCTGCTATTGCTACTTTCCTGGTGCTTCACCATGCTTCGCTGATTTCCTTAACCCTGCTCACAACTCTGGAAATTGTCCTTTCATCAATTCTCCTCAGTTAAACCCTTAGTTTATGCCATTTATTTCCTGCTAGATACAGAAGAACTTTGACAGATACAATATCTCATTTATCAGCTAGTAAAGCTTCAAACACAAAGTAGGTGACGAATAAAATGAATTAAAGAACGAATGACTCTTAGATAGAAACTTGAAATAAATGATAGTTTTTAATGTCAGGAGATTCATCTTGAAACTTTTAAATGGGGAAGCTGGATATTACTTGGCCAAAAATGAACCATGAAACTCTTACCAACAGCTATACTAAAGGCCTGGCCCTCTCACCCCACGTTTGCTGACTGGGCTGTTTCAAAGGGCATGGTCAAATTTAGTAGCAGCCCTAAACTGAACTTTACTTTTCCCTCCACTGTGATGGCTAGGTTTATGTCGTCTTTCATCGTTAGAGGAAATGTATAGGGACAGAACAAAAATACATTCTTTAGAAAGAAAACAATACACCAGTCAGCAGAAAGACTATAGTTACAATATACACTAAAAGGAAAAATTAGTTCCTTGGAAAACAGCTTTTTATTTTCAGAAGATGAAAAAGAAAAAGATATGTCCTCAAGTGATAGATAATGAAGACACTTCCCAGGTATCCTCAAAGGCTGTGGTTTTTCACATGTAAACCTAAAACAAAATCCATTATAAAGAGTGTCATCCAAGTTCAATTCTGGCTGCTTATTTTGTTCTGTGGTCAATCTTTGCTGCACCCAGCAGTTTAAATTCAAGCCGCAGAGCTGTGAATGGCCCTTGTCTCTAAAATGCCTTTGGACTGTCCTCAATGACCTAAATTATATGACTTTGTATCTGCAAGGACTACAATTAAACAGGATATCTAGGACCAAATTCTCCCAGTGTACATGATTTTTTCCAAGTTAACCTGAATTTGGGTAACACACACTTTAGAGCTGAAAGTGCCTATTTGTTGCTATGTGGTGTCCTAGTGACATTGAAGATCAATTCCAGGGCATCTCAGAGCCAACAAACCCATGTTCCCAAGCTCGCATTTGAGGCACTATTTAGCTGAGTCAGCTGCAGTGTTGTTTTAGAGCTGCCTCTTGGGAGCTCATAAGAGCCAATTGTTAAATTTTCAGGAATTTAGAGAGCTGGCTGACACCTCATTGGTAGGTTGGTGTGGGAATATTTACACCACAGGAATTACAAACACTGTAAGTCAGGACATTTCTCCCCTTTGCAAGTCAGTTGTTCAACATTTATGGGCATCACACCACCTATGAGATAATATAGACCCATTTGCCCTGTGGCTAAAATTGCTAGAGAGATACCTTTGATGTCCTTCCAATCTCTGCAAGCTCAAAGAAGAGAATCAATCTTTCTGAGTGTATTATTTAAAATGATTCCCTAAATTTCAATGTGCAGTTTAAAAACACGACTAAAATTAGAGTATACAGCCTGAGAAAATGGTTTGTTTTTAAGTTGGCTCAAGAAGTTTCTGAAAATTAATTTATGATAAATTGCCTTATAAAGTTAAAATGCCTTTCAAAATTTTATGGAGCTACTTCAAAAACTGGAGAAGTCTGCCAGTAAATTAAAGTATATGTCTTTAAAGAAAGAAAGAGATTTATCTCAAAAATAGTTTAGGCCCAGCTGGAGTAATTGGTCTCTCTTTCAGTGAAAAGGGAGATAGCGATCCCTAGCTAATCTCAAGAATTTTTGCCCTGAAATAATGGCTGACCCTTGGCTCTGTTGTTTTTGGACAAGTCTTTTGCCAAAACAAAAATTTTGCAACAGCAATGACCTAACTTGGGAAACAATTTTATAACATTTTCTAGGAAACACAAAACATTTGTTTTACTCTTTCTGAAGATCAGCAGTGGGACTAGGAGGAGAGCATAATATTTTTCCTTGTAACAAAAAAAACTTGGTAAGATTAGTGACTGGAAGTATACCTCAGTTCAATGAAGGGTCATCCAGAGCCCATAAAATGTTGTCTTCCAAACCAGTAATGAGCATGCCTCCCATAATATCACAATTAGCTAAAATTCTAGATCAGCTCAGCTGGTCATTAGGGCATAAATGGTGATATTTAACATGCAACAAATTGTAAGCAAGGCAGCTAGTTTTGACGAAAACAATAAGAGAAGTGGTTAGCTGCAAAAACAGACTTACATTTTAGAAGAGCCAGGAGAAAACTTCTTGACGTAGTCGGAAAAAAAGAAAATCTTTTTGCAGTGACTCAGGTTTCAGTTGGATGAGTGCAGACAACCCAAGTTCGGCAACATTATTCATACTGATAGATTGCAAAAAAAATTTATCAGCTCATCCATCAGCAAAATGTCCTCACAAAGCCTATTAAATATGTACTAGTGAAGGTATTTGAAATAACCTGATACACTGTGTTATAGGACATACCCATGATTAAAAACATGGACACTGGAGTTAAATAGCCTGGGTTTAATTCCTTCATGGCCCATTAGCTATGTGACCTCAGAAAAGGATCTTAATCTCTCTAACCCTCACACGCCTCATGGGTAAACTTGATGATATTTGTGCCCAAAAGACTTGTTGTAAGGGTTAAATGATTGGCCTAGAATGGTGTCTGCACATAGTAAGTGCTTAATAAATATTAGCCATTATTTTTGTATGTAGCCTAACTTATTTGTCTTAATTTGGAGCCCCCCAGAAGAAGATGCTGAAGAAAGTATTTGATTACAAGTAGTGTATTTGGGGGAGGATCCTGGGACACCAGTAGACAAATGGGGAAGTGAGGCCAGGAAAGAAAAGCAGCCAATCATTGGAGCGTTACCACAATTACCACTGTGGGTGACTGTAGCTCACTGCCTCTAGAGATTCTAGGACACAGAGGAGGACACAGCACAGAGATATCCCACCCAAAGGTGAGGAAGCTGGGTGCTTACCCACCTACTCCTTGTGCATATTTGGTTGAGAGCTGCTCCTCAGGGTGTTAATACTCTAGGACATTGGACAGAAAATGGCAGGTAGTTCAATGTAAGCAGCTTTAGACATTAGAAATAAGTGACAAGCGTACAGGGCAGCAGCTGCAGAACCCTGCATCATTGTTTTCAGATCATTAAATGAGCTGAAGTTCCTCTATATATTTGTTTCAATGAGTCAACCCGCTAATGACAATAATGCAACAAAACAAAAACTGTTCTCATTGTATGCTAGTTTTAATGGAGGTACTAAGATAAGAAATAAATTATGTAACTTTAAAAAATGTGTATGTCAGTTCCCATCAAATCAACACAGCATTGGGAATAATACATGGCATCAAAACCCTAATTCTGCTTTGAGCCACTTACCTCTTCCTCTATATCTATCGCCTCAAGCTTCATGTGCTGTGAAACAGTCAAGACTTCATGAAACAGGAAAGCACCCCTCTTTTTCCTCAAAATCACCAAGATTTTAGCAGCTGAAATAACAGGCTTCCTCAGTAAAACTGAAACCACTCGTTTTTAGAACAAATAACATATTAAGACTTTCCCATGCACTCAGACAGATATTCAAATACTAAATGATAATGAACACCTATAAACTCCATTCTTAAACTGAGAAATGTATGTTACATAATCTTATCATTTGTGTCTTTTTCATGTGAAAAGAGGAAAGTCCGTATATGTGGCCAACATTTCTAAAATAAATACAGTCATTTGCCACATAATGACATTTCAGTTAACGATGGACTGTTTATACAAAGTGGTCCCATAAGATTATAATAAAGCTGAAAAATTCCTATTGTCTAGTTACATCATAGCCATCATATTGTCATAGCATAACACTTTACCCACCATGGTGGTGCTGGTGTAAATAAACCTGGTAGTCATATAAAAGTGTAGCATATACAATTATGTACAATACATACTACGTACTTGATAATATGAGGTCTGACAATTAAGTTCACGAACTTGTTGCAATGATGTTGCTAACCTTTTTTGATATCAGAGGAATTATTCATTATGAATTTGTACCAACTGGACAAACAGTTAACCAAGTTTACTATTTAGAATGCTAAAATGGCTGCTTGAAAAAGTTAGACGACCTGAACTTTTTGCCAACAATTCATGGCTGCTGCATCACGATAATGTACCAGCTCACATGGCACTGTCTGTGAGGGAGTTTTTAGCCAGTAAACAAATAACTGTATTGGAACACCCTCCCTACTCACCAGATCTGGCCCCCAATGACTTCTTTCTTTACCTGAAGATAAAGGGAATATTGAAAGGAAGACATTTTGATGACATTCAGGACATTAAGGGTAATACGACGACAGCTCTGATGGCCATTCCAGAAAAAGAGTTCCAAAATTGCTTTAAGGGTGGACTAGGTGCTGGCATCAGTGCATAGCTTCCCAAGGGGAGTACTTCTAAGGTGACCATAATGATATTCAGCAATGACGTATGTAGCACTTTTTCTAGGATGAATTTGCGAACTTAATTGTCCGGCCTTGTAATGTCTATGTTACTGGTTTATGTATTTACTATACTAGACTTTTAACCATTAGAGTGTACTTTTTCTTCTTATAAAAAAAAGTTTTTTGCAAAACAGTATGCTATGTTACGCTGGCAACAGTCACGCACATCTGATGTTTACTGTATTTCTTTTTTTTTTAAGATTTTATTGGGGAATTGGGGGAGGGAAAAGCACTGGGGAATTGGGGAAGGGGAACAGACAAATTGCTGTCTTTTTGTTCTTCATCCTAGTTGTGGAGGATGTGGCTCACTGGCCCATGCTGGTATTGTGATGATTGTGCTCTTTCCAGCTGAGGCAGATTGGTAGCCGACCATTGGATGGCCGCTCACGGCAGCTCATGGCAGCTAGCGCTGGCTGCCAGCCACTCACGCTGGCTGCTAGTCACTCATGGGAGCTTTATCACAGCCCACTGCAGACCCACTGCAGCCTAGCCGTCCCCTGCAACTCACAGCAGCCCAGCTCCAGGTCGAGCTGTTGTTCACCACCTTAGCTATAGAAGGTGCAGCATCAGTGGCCCATGTGGGATCCAAACCAGTGACCCTGCTGCTCAGAGCTCATGCTCCCAAGCCACCTCTTAACCAATGAGCCACTCGGCCAGCCCCCAAGCCAACTTTAACCAATGCACCACTCAGCCAGCCCTACTGTATTTAATTGCATCATTTTTTCCTGTGTTTGATTTAATCTTGTATTGTTTTATACAGTAATATGCTGTATAGGCTTGTGGCCTAGGAGTAAGTAATAGGCTACACCATAAAGCCTAGGTGTGAAGCAGGCTAGGTTTGTGTAAATGAACTCTATGATGTTCACACAATGACAAAAATCGCCTAACCATGCATTTCTTAAAACGTATACCCATTGTTCAGCAATGCATGACTGTAACTGCCTCAGAGAAAAAGATTGATAGATCTACTTACACAAAATACAAACTTTTTTGTGCTACCAAAAAAAAAAAAGAAAAGAAAAAGAATAAAAGAAAGTAAACCCTGAACAATGTTGAAGGGTAATAAAAAATCTGGAAAAAGTTTGCATATTAGATAAGAGATAAAGTACTATATAAAGAAAGATTACAAATCAATAAGAAAACAACAAACATTGAATAGAAAAGTAGACAAAGAACAAAAGCAGTTGAGAATTTAATGTTACAAAGTCTGACCATTTGCAATCCTTTCAAATGAAAATAAAAATAGCCATATATTAAGTGGCCCAAATTTCTAAAGCAAATAATTACTTTAGAGTTTGATATGAACTGTGAAAATTTAAAGAAGACGACACATGGTCAAAAAATATGAAAGGAGGGCCGGCCGAATGGCTCAGTTGGTTAAGAGCTCACTCAAGAGTTTGAGCTCTGTGCAACAGCGGTTCGATGCCCGGCCTGAGCTGAGCAGCCGCTGAGCTGCCAACAGGTGGCAGGATGGCTCAGCTAAAAAAAAAAATATATATATATATATATATATATATATATATATATTAAAGGATGTTCAACCTCACTATTCAAAATGCTGTGAATATGAAGTGAAAAGGTGGTACCTCCCAACAAATTGGTGAAAATGAAAAAGATCATAAATACCTACCCAATGCTGATGTGAGTCCAGACATCAGTACACTATTACTAGAAATATATATTGATGTAACATTTCTAGAAAGCAACTGACAATATGCTTCATATTTCTTTAAATATCTCATGAACTGTGTCCTAGCAATTCTACTTATAGGAATTTAGCCTAAGGAAACACTTGGACAAATATGTGAACCTTCCATATTCTCAATGGATGCTATATCAGTCAGGGCTTTTCAGAGAAACAAAATCAATACACACATATACATGTGGGGGTGAGGGTGGCTGGCAAATCTGAAATCTGCAGAGCAGGCTAGCAGTCTAACAATTTAGGTGAAAGTTTATATTGCAGCCTTAAGTTCAAAATTCATAGGGCAGTCCATCATTATGGCAATTCAGGTAGGATTTCTAACGTTACAATCTTGAGGTGAATTCCTTCTTCTCCAGGAAACTGTTTTTGCTGTTTAAGGCCTTCAGTTGATTGGATGAGGTCCACACAGATTATGGAGGATAATCTGCTTTACTTAAACTCAACTGATTTTAAATGTTAATGAGATCTACAAAATACTTTAATATCAACATCTAGACTAGTGTTTGACCAAGCACTGGGCACTATAGCCTAGCCAAGTTGACATATAAAATTAACTACCACAGATGGTCATGCCTGCTACTTCACAGAGAAAATAGAAATCATTAAAATGATCTTCTCTCACTTCCACCCACTGTGTTCTCAGTTCAACACCTCATCTCTCTTCCTGGGGGCCTCTCATCAACATTTGAGTCTATTGACCACATCCTCCTTCCTGAAGCACTCTCTTTTAGCTCCATGATTTCACTTGCTTCTGGGGTTTCTCCTATTTCTTACTCCTTTTCAGCCTCTTAAAGGGATCCTCTTCAATTTTACATCTTTGAATTACTGGGGTTTCTAGGGGATTCTGTTCCAAGTCTTCTTCTCTTTTCATCCTCAGAATAGTTCTTAACCTTTCTGGGCCATTGATTGCTATCACTTAGGATTGCATTCAGATGCACATAATAAGCACCAAAAAACTATAGTTTAACCAAATAAGATTTTTTTGTCTTATAACATGGAGTCTAGAGGTAGACAGTTCATAGCTGGTGGACTCATGGAACCCAGATTTCTTCACACTCTTCACAATGCTGTCCTTAGTATATGGTTTTTATGCCCCTGCTCACAAGATGGCTGCTGCTCTCTAGGCATCATGTCTACACCCACAGTATCTTCTCACCAACTTTTTGGAATCTGATTCATTTATTTATTCAACAAATATTAATTGTGAACCTACTATTTGTCAATACTCTTCTAAGCACTGGGAATACAGAAAAGAAAGGGGGGGGGGGAAATCCCTGTTCTTGTGGAGCTTATATTCAAATGAAGATAGAAAATAAATAATATAAACAAGTGAAAAATATACTATGCTATATGGTGATAAGTGCTATAGAGAAAAATAAAGCAGAGACGGGAACTAGAAGGATGTGTGTGGTAATATTAGACAGCCTCATTGAGGAGGTGATATCTGGGCAGAGAATTGAGGGAAGTGATGGGCAAGCTATTTAATAGATCCCCGAAGGAAGAACATTCTAAACACAGGGAAGAGTAAGTGTAATGGGCTATGCCTGGTTTGTTCAAGGAAGAGTACAAAGGCTGCTTTGGTGAGAGCAGAGAATGTAAAGATATAGTGGAGGGTGATGAGGTCACAAAGGGTAACAAGGAGGCTGATACTAGAGGGTTTCTATAAAATGCTTCATAATGATTTGGCTTTACTATGAGCATGAAGGGAAGCCATTGAGAGTTTTGACAAGTAACATAAACTGACTTACAATTTAATAGGATCACTTTGATGGCTCTGTTAAGAATAACAGAAGCAAAGAGACCAGTTAGGAGGCTATTGTAATAATCCAATATAGATGTGATGGTGACTTGGGCCAGGTGGTAGCAATGGAGGTGGTGAGAAGTGAGAGAATTCTGGATGTATTTTGAAAGATGAGTGAATAGTATCTGCTGATGGGGATGAACTATGAGAAAAAGAGTGAAGTCCAGGATATATCTGAAGATTTTGGCTTGAGTAACTGGAAGGATGAAATTGCCATTTACAACATGGGGGAAATTGTAGGTAATTGTAGGTAAAGCAGATTTAAGGGAGAATCTCAGGTGTTCTGTTTTAATTACGATAAGTTGAGATATCAATCAAACATTCAAGAGCAAATGTTGAATAGATAGTTGCCTCTGTAAGTTTGGAGCTTTGGGGAAAGGTTAAGGAAGGACACATAAATTCAGGAACAATAAGCAGAATGCTGATGTTTAAAGTCAAGAAACTGAATCAGAATAGCAAGGATGAGGGTAAACAGAAAAGAAAGGAACTGAATATGAGGGCCCTTTAGGGATTAGATTTCAGGAGATATAAGGAAGAACCAGAAAAAGGACACTAAAATGGAATAGACAGGCAGGTAGGTGGAAAATCAGGAGAGTGTGGGATTCTGAAAGCCAAGTAAGTCAAGTGTTTCAAGGAAAAGAGAAGATGTGATTCACTTTGTTGAGTGACACAAGGACTAAGAATTGACCATTGGACTTAGCAATATGAATTTCCCTAGTCACTTTGGTAAAGAGCAGTTTCAAGAAAGTGGTGGGAATGGAACTAAGAAGATGAAATGTTAAACTCAACAAGCAGAACTAACGCTTAGAAAATAAAGTCAATAGGGTAAACAAAAGAATTGCTCAAAAGAAGCATAATTACGTTAATCAACAACTTCTACAAATATTTAGTGTTTATCTTCTATGTACCAAGTGATAGTCTAGGGACTGGCAATGCAGCAACAAAGAAAACAAAGTCTTCTTTCATGGAGTGTATATTCTATTGGAGGCAAAGAGACAATAAACAACTAAACAAATAAATAAACAATGTCAGTTGCTTAAAGTGTTTTGGAAAAAAAATACAGATGGGAAAGGAGATAGATAGGGTAGGAGAGGGGGTGTATTTTAGAAAGATAGAGACTCAGGCACAGCGCCTATCTGGGTGGAGGGAGGGCTCAGCAAAGTAACAATGACTTCTGCCAGCACTTCTGTCTGAGAGAAAGCTGCCCTTCCAGCCCTTGCCCTCAAGACAGACAATTCAGTTCCTCCCCATCTGTTCCTAGCACCTTTTGAGCTGCTGAC